AATCACGCACAATCGCCCCCGCCTAATCCGGAAATGCGATCAGCAATGTACCTTCCAGAGCCGATTGGCTTCAAACATCGACCGGAAAACGTCTGCAACCTTGCGAATAAGTAAGACCAATCCATGGTCAGCCTTTACGTACGCAGAACCAATAGCATAGTTACTACTTCGATAAAAGAATGAAACTGACGTGCCTGAAAAGGACACAATACAAATAACTGATGCGATTTTGACAAGTGTAGTGGGTGGCGGCTTGAAAGCCCAACCACGACCACACCCTACAGTCGAGAGTGACGAACAAGCTGGGTGGGCAGCCGGTGGTCGCAGTCAGCCACCAGCTTGCCAGCTTGTTGTAGATGGTGATAGCGGTGTAGAGCTTTGGATTGCACGCATATTTCCTTTCTCACTTTACATTTTACCAAGACACAAGCAATACAAGCGGCTATACCTTAAGGAAGTGCCAGCTTCCTCTGACCGTCTTGTATTCATTACTGTGACCTACTACAACAACGTATTACCGTTTCTAAAATCTGTAGGAACGAGGACGCTGCGATTTGTGTTGATCGGATCACGCAACCGTCATCCTCGATCGGTCCATCTTAACCAACAAACTCGTCTAATAAAGTTTAGGGATTGATGAATGGTTCGCACTGCATCGCAGAGGAAAAGCGTTGTAATACAACGTCCGCTTCCACTGAAAGTCCGGGGAAATGAGTGCCTGTTCAAAAACCAGAGATACGTCCTCCACGCTGTTAAGTAGCTGCAACATCGGCGACAACATGTCGCTCTGGGATACCACCCTTGTCATGCGGCTAGTCGAGTCATCCCACTCGAAACACGTTGACCCGCGCATAACAAGTCGTTGGTTCAGAAGCTGCTCTGCTAGCTTACCGTTCCGATCGCTGTTGTCGGTGGTGCGCAAGTGTGGAAACACGTTGCGCAGAGTGTGTTTCGTGATGATCACGCTGGTAGTTGTGATTCCCAGCAGCGACTCGCCGTCCGTCTCCTCCCACCCTTTGAGTTCCACATTCACGTCGCCGAACCAGTCCATAAAGCACCAGTGCTGCATAATAGCCTCCGGGCCGTATTCTGAGTTGATTACCACATCTGGAGCCATCATATCTCGCACAAAGCCGAGCTGGTTGTTGGTGAGATGAAGTCCATGACCGATCAAGCGAAAGTATTCTACTGCTGTATGCCATACGTCGTTTGCAGGTTGTGATGGTTGAACGCGGGTGCGGCGCATATGCTGGCAACGCTTGTTGAGTATTTCGATCTCTTTGCAAAGATATTGGATGTCGTTGTCAAGGAGAATGGTCAAGTCTTCTGGCTGCTTTAGCAAGTAGCGTTTCTGAAGTTGTCGGAGTTTTTTTCCGCTTGTCAGCACGCCCTTGACACTTCTTGGTCTCTGCATCGCTTGCTCTCATTTGAATAACTTGGGCTTCAGTAGACGAACTGCGTTGTGCGCTAGTTCACTCCGGTGTAGCACTCACCCGTCTTTACAAGTTATTTACACCCGTTGTCAAATTATGTACGTCAAGTAAGTTTTTTTTTTTCAGTTGACGTAGAACAGACGATCCTCTAGGTAGTCATAGTTGCCATTTTATTCCTGTTTAAAGGAATTTTTATCCACGAATGTAGCACAACAATGGATCCGAGTACCTTCAGCTTGGAACAGTACACAAAATATACGATTAATTAGCTCGTTACTGGCGATTCACCCTGTTTTGCTCTCCTATTGCTAGTTTTGCCTCACCACACTGAGATACCCTCCTCTCTAGCCCAACCAGACCACCTCACACTCACCAACAGTAAACGACTGCTATACACATATGCTAGCACCATGCTCATATCCCTAGTTTGTCCAATAGAGAGCTAGATTCATGAGCTCCCAGAATCTACGGTCTTTCTCTGGTTCATTACAAGCAACAATCTGGAAGCTATTGATGTGCAGAAATGCACTGGACTACCTTCCGTTCTGGCAGTTGGCCACAAAACGCGGCACGAGGTGGGCTAGTCTACACCCGACCAGATACTTGCCAGTTGAGTTTCATCGAGTGAAGGGGGTGTTGCCGTCACAGGTGTGCAATTAGCGTGAAGGTTGAGCGCTTCTCCGTGATCCTAAAGCTCGAATCACGTCCAAAGTAGGCAAAAGAATAGGCTTCATCGGTTCAACACTAGGATCAGACTTGGCAGCAATAATGCCCTTGTGCAGTTATGACTGATTCTATAGTTAAGCACCCCAGAATAAGAATTTTTGACTTCGAATGTATTCCATTTTACGATCGAGGGGTGGGAGGGAATAATATATTTGGTGTATGTGACTGGTCAACCGGAACCGCTAATTTATTGCTGTTGAGGGAGTATTCTATTTATAGGGATTACTACGGAGGGGACCGTCTGTATTCGCGACAAGGGGATACCGTTCTTATGGAGAATCCGAATGGTGGTGTACAAAATTCACCCCATTCAACAATCGATTCGTGGTATCATTGACAGAAACATCATTGTTCTTCATGATCAAAAAGGATTTGGTACAGCAAGACTATCAAACTTAGAAAAAAAAAATACAGAAATTATGGACGGCCTTTACAATGAAAGCGTCCATGATAGAAAAAAACACACACACACACACACACACACACACACACACACACACACACACACACACACAAATTACCAGTAATACAAATGTGGTATTTTTCCGAATGGTTACTACATCGCGCTAGATTAGCTTTTAACCAAAGCTCATTTGAGGTCCTTACACTAGTAATTATGCATTGGAACCTATCGAATGCGCGGATCACTATCGCGTAATATCGTCAATGGATGACCAGTAACTTATAACTCGGCCCGACGAAGTGCAACACACGGGTCCAGTTCGACGTCGCTGTGGCATTCAGCTGAGGGCCTGGCTCGCGCTTCGAGATCAGAATACATGTGACGTGAAATGTTTAAGTCCAGAGGTCTCATTTATCAAAACTGTTTATGGAGCTGATCTAGTAATCCATCAAGCTTTGATTTCGACCAATCAGGTATATACTTCATGTAGCTGATTGGTCGAAATCAAAGCTTATATGATGGATTTCTAGATCTGCTATCGTCATGTTCAAGGTCGCCACAATCAAGACCGGAGAGTAAGGCAGAGTTAGTTTATTGGGTGGTTTGTAGAAATGACACCAGGAGAGAACCTACTAAGGGTATATTGAGGTAGGAAGCATCTAAAGGCCACCCTGTGATTAATAGACGGTTCCAGTGAGCGCAAAGCATTCTCGCTGTACTATGTATTATAATATTCAAAAAAGTGTTTACCGATGATAAAATATGTACGGGGTGGTTGCCACCAAGTACGGATTATTAAATTGTGTCGCGGAGTACAAGGTACCGTGTTGCAAAGATATGTAATGGAAAGCGAAGAGAAGCGGCATCAAAGTCAGTGTTTTTAGTTTAGTGCACCATCGAAATGTGGATCAATACCAGTCGGCGATTGAAAACAAACCATTTTACGGATTAGTGTACATTTGTACAAACAACTATGACAATAGCCGGAATATCTGACTGCATACAAATATTAAATGCAAGAAACGTCCAGTTCGACTTCGACGTGGCACATCCGCCCGCCTGAGGGCCTGGCGCGCGCGTCAGGATCAGGATGCCGTCAAATTTTCAAACCTAGAACCCAGAGGGTACTGTTTTGTATATCAAAACAGTTTACGGGCAACTATGCGTAAACCATCGTAAATCACGGCCGACATGTACATGTAACAAAACCTAAACCCGTAAATATCTCTACCGAAGCATAGATATGCCAAGTATATATTTAAAATGGCCTTTTTACATGACCATTTTTCCGATGTTACATATTTCCTGGGATTTGCTGAATCGGTGATTATTGCTCGTTTGACCGAAATAAACTCTTATGGGATTTGGTTTACTGACTTCGGCTCGTCATCTACAGGGCCACAAGTACTAGTAGCTGAACCAATTTTTACATCATTTCCGATTCTGCTCGCTTAACAGACAATCTCCACTAGAAAAAATGCGGTTCAGCGTTTTTCTTGCTGTGTTGGTGGCCGCCTTCGTCGCGTGCTACTCCAGTCTTGCCATCGCCGAGAACTCACCCGCCTTTCGCAATAAGGACAATCATAACCGCCGTCTTCACGCTCCAAAAGTTGCGGAAGCGGTAACTCATGCTATCTCCGGACAAGCTGATGACCAATTGGTGAAGTATGCCTTGAAGTTGTCCAACGCTGCTAAAGGAGACGAAGTCGCTATCAAGAAAGCTAATGATCTCGCTGGTCTAGCGAAGGCCTTTGCGAGGGCCAGTGATGATGAAGTTGCCTGGGCAACCAAATTTGTAAAGGAGGTCAAGGGAGACGAGGCTAATACCATGAGATATATCCTCGGTTTGGCCCAGAAGGAAGGCAAGGTCACCAAAGAAGCTGCAGCCGGAGCGTCCACAAAGATTGTGGAGACTGTGAAGAAGGACCCATCATCTTGGGGTCGCCTTAAAAAATTTATCTTGATTGCCCTAGGTGCTACTGTCGGTGGGTTCGCCATCTACGGTGCTTACAAGGCATTGTTTGATAGAAACTCACAAACCAGTACGGCCACTACGACCACGACTGGTTAGGAGCAATGACGACGCTCCAGATCACGATAATTGGCGACTACCAAGTGGTGGTGATAAGAATAAAGGAAACTGTAGTACAGGTTCTAGAACGCGATCTGTATGTGGCATCCATGCCGGTACTTTCACTGAGGAGAATGACAAAAATACCAATTTTCGGGTTTCGCAGCTAATTTTTTCTCAGTATTTTATCTTATTTGGCTTTATTTTTTCTATTTGAAATAAATGGAATCCAAAAGAACGTAGGCAACCTACTTGTATACTGGGCGCCGCTATAGCCGGAGTCTATTGTTCTCTAAAATGAATTTGAGAGATACGAAGGGGTTTCGCGACAAAACCCCAAAGTTCGTCTCTGTGGACCATTTGACAAAGCACCTGATTATAAATTTTGCTCGTTTTTTTGTTTAGTTACTAGTATAAAGCTATCGTTTTGTACACGCTCTGTGAATGGACAGAACGATGTACAGCACGTTCAGTTCGCGTGGTCACCCTCCAGCGACTTCGTTCGACGTCGGCATCACGTTACGAGCGATAGTGGGCATGACTAAAGGTGGAGCCGTGCGAATTGGACGGCTGTGATGAAAGGCGACTTGACATGTGCTACGCCCAGTAATGCAGCTGTCTACTGTTGACAATAGATCGATTCCAGCATGCGGCTGCCGCTAGTCTCACGCCTAGAGTGGTGGACCATCACTGGTGGTAGTTTCGAAGTAAAGCGTCATCGATGCTTTACACAAGAGAATAGCGCATCGCCAGTGCAGCAAATCCCATCTAGTCAATGGTTTCTAGAAACGCGTTTAGTTGGTCAGAATGAGAGTTTGCAGATGCTTACCTTTGCCCCTAAATGAATTCTGACTTGAGCCATTTGGTTTCCTTAAAACGATGATGCCTTCACCTTGTTTCAAAAACCTAAACTCGCTGTGGACCCTACATACACTCCAGCCTTGTCACCCAAGAAGTGCCTGGTATATAAAACTCTTTACATCAAGCTTTGAATCGTTCTGTTCACCCTTCGGTACAACCTGTACAGAACCCTTGTCTGATACCAGCTTCTAACCGACATAAAAACTGTAAACATTTGTTGGCTCTAAGTTGGCATCGCTAGTTGTACTAGGATGACTGGGGAAATTGAGTGGGGATATTTGTTTAGCTACCTTAGCGCGTGTAAATGGTACTTCGCGTACACGTTTCTGTTCTCAACGATGCCAGCCATTCTAAACCAACACTACTTCAACTCTTTTATTTGCAGTCTATCTAACGGTGTAAGTTCAAAGTGGCGAAACTTTTTAACGTTCTAACTACTTTACCAACTTCTTTTAAGATAGTTGAGCGCAGAGCTGGGGAGAATCGTACTGTGAATGAAATGCTCACTTATCCTGCCCTTAAGAATGTTAACAAAGCACATAACATGCTGGGATAGCTGATCTATCTTTCATCACGGCAAGGCGACACCATAGTAGGATGGGTGCAGTCACATTTTCAACTACCTTAGTTGTCAACTTGAATGAAATGCTCCCCTATCCTGCCCTTAAGAATGTTAACAAAGCACATTACATGCTGCTTTTTCCGGAAAGACTTGCATTTTCTGTCAGCATCGAGGGAAATCGCCATTCCCTTGCTTCAACCACTAGTTATGAGCCTCAGCAGGCGTATCTTCACTACTCGATGCTGTAGCTTTTCAGTAGTTGCACTGGTTTACCTATTGGTTACTGGATCAGCGTGCACAGCGATCATAATAACGAAATTACAGCTCTCGTGCCGACGGCAGCATTGATGACAAGTGCACATGCAGCGTTTTTTTGTTTCTCAATCTCCACCTTTGAGATTGTAAATATTGCAATAACTGATTGTCTTGCTGAAAAAAAAAGTACAATCCATAAACAATCTTTATTTTTACAGCTCTGCGTTGAGTGCTTAAAAGGGCTCAACTAGGGTTTGCATAGGGTAAGATAGCTATTTTATCGTGGTACAGTGAAAGCGTGTGAGCTCCTTCTTCGGAGGGCATGCTCGTCGAAGAATAGTTCAGACAACAGCTTTATTATCGTTGCTAGTTTATACAGAAAGAAGCCTAGAAATGGCGCAGCCATGGTGAGGTTCCTCGGTATAGGCTCATACTTTTCCTTTGAAGTTGGTAACGCTCATTCAGCTGAGTTGCACTGAATCTTCCAAACGTTTAAATAAACGCTAAATACACGACCTCCACGCCGTTGTGGTACTGCAACTGGCCTTTGGAGCTAGAATGGGAGTGTTAAACGCATTGTGACTCACGATTTACGAGACACATGTGGAGTTTTGAAACGCGCTGTAGTTTGAGTGAATGTCATGTACCATAAGTAGTGTAAATTCTTTGTGTCATGATGTGATCTGAAAACGGCTTGTGTGAAATTATTGGAACGAATTAATATGTCAATACAATTTTCTTGCTGCCCTTCCAGGATAATATGTTACTGGTTGCAAAAAAGTAGCATATTACAAACCGCACGACAGAATTGGGATGTCTGTAGTATTAGCAGAGCCGACGATTTATAGGTTAGAAGCTAGTATCAGACAATGTAATGGTTATACCTGGTAATCGGTAATAGTGACTTGTGTGCGTAGACGCGGTAGCGTGCTTACGCTATGCGGCCCTGTCATCAACGAGTGCCCCATTGACGACCGAAATCACGTCAGCAACTGTCTGCAGCTGAATTTACGTGTATGTTGCTAGCCGCCTCATTTTTCAAAGCGGCTCCAGCTTGGCAAGTTTCCTGTACAACCACCCACACTCTACACCCTCGCTACGATCTCCACCATCACGACCATCCTCACCACCGGTAGCACTCGTGGTATTGGCCTCGCCTTCACCAAGCACTACGCCAAGGCTGGTTGGAATGTCATCGACACGGCACCGTGCCATTGGTACGAGCCAACAGTGACACCGAAAAGGTCTTTGCGTTGTTTCGGGATAGTGAATGCTTGATAAAAGCCTTACTTAACATTTATCTTGTCTGTATATTGCGAAGCTGAAAGCGCTTGCTCCTTTCAAGATCGGCGTTACGGATACAAGTGACGTGACCTTCATCCTAAAGGCAGTTCGTCTGCTGGAGGGATAATCCGTCCAACTACTTATCAACAACGCTGATATTGGTATCCCCCGCGAGCGCAAGACTGGCACCAAGGACGAGCTTCTGAAGCAGTTCGAAGTGAATGCCGTCGGGCCATTCCTCGCGACGCGTGTATTGTTGCCCAATTTGCAGCTTGCAGCAAACCCGACCGTGGCTCCTCCGTCGTGTAGCTCTCATCATACCTCGGAAGTATCGGCAGCTACACGACCGAGACTACAGGCTTCTTCAAGCAAAGCTATTTGTCCTCCAAGGTGGCACTCAACAGGATTACTCGATCTCTAGCGTCGATCTACAACCTAGCGGTATGGTTGTCGTGTCGGTCCACCCTGGATACGTGGACACAGATATGACTCATGCTGAAGCCTGAGGACAGCCTTTAGGCCATGGTCAGTCTTATTGGCAAGCTAAACCATGAAAGCACGGGCAAATTCTAAAACCTAGACCCGCATATCCCGTTGGCGAATCTTCCGTGGTAACGTCCCTTTGGTAAGCGGCAGCATAGTCCATCTGTGGTTCTTGATCCAAAAATTGACTGAACAAGTGTTCTCGCAAATTCACCTGATCACAAGCAAAGCTGCTACTAGTTTTAGCGTCAGAGCATGCTCTGAGTGACCAATTAATGTAGCGAAACCAGGGTTGTTCCTGTGACGAAAAGTTTATTAATGATCATAAAGGAAAACCGAAGGACCCGAATTACGAACGTTACTCTTGATCTCCTGTTGTCCTCATCCAGATCCGTCGTTCATGCAGTTGTGGGCACGTACCAGTGTCCACTAACGGCCTTTGCTGCTTGCACCAAACCCAATACAGCTTGGTGCGCCGATCCTTCTCATTAGCAACAGGCCTCCAGCTGTAACGCATCCGCGTTGATTGTATTATTTAAATCTTTGGATTATGGTACGGTTTACGGGACGAGTTACAGGATAGTTTACGGGACGTTCGTAAACTAATTTACATTTAGCAATGAGTGGTTAGTAGATAGTCTAGACACAAAAGAGTGCAGACTTTTAATTTACTAATATCACTTTCCAATTTGCATCCTGCAACACAAGCTTCCTCTACGTTA